ACTCAAGCGGAGGCAGAGGCGGAATACATAGAAAAGTTTGCCAACCCCTTCCCAGCTGCTGTTCGAGGTAAAACTTAATACAAGTTTGTTCTTTATAGTTTCCATGAACCTGCTGTCAATAAAACATATAAGAAACGTTACACATTTCTCTTTGACTGGCTGACTGTTTTAGGTTTTGTGGATGACATCATTGAGCCATCAACAACTCGCAAGAGGATCTGCACAGATCTGGAAGTGCTGGCCAGCAAGAAGCAGGTCAACCCCTGGAAGAAACACGCCAACATTCCTCTGTGAAACACACCCATGTGGTTTCAGCATCAACACTATCTGAAGACACTGAATGTGATGTTGTCCTTGTACCGAGTCTACCTTCAGATGAACTGCAGTGGTACCTGTGATGGTGACTATGGGTGCCTGTCATATTTCACTGGTTGTATGTGCTGTTGGTTTAAAACTGTCACGTACCACTCCACTAAAAAGCAGCACACAGAGATACGCTCCCGGATTTTGTTAGTGCTTAATAGTGACCCCTCCCAGCTCACTTTTTAAACTGTTAACTGCGTCAAATCGTCCTTGTGCTGAGATATTTTTAGGATTTAGGGCTTTAATAGCTTAAACAAAATCAAGATGTATATCTTTACATCTTTATCAGCAAAATGTCATAACATGTTGCGGAACCTGAATAATACAGTGATCACACACATTTTTAAATGAATGGCATGTGACTAGTGGCCATATTGGTCACTATGATTGGTATGATTTTGATATTCTGAAAACAAAGTTGTATCTGAAAGGGCAGATTACATATTGCCCTGACATGCCTTTGAACACACAAGGCTGTAGTCTGTCATGTACAGCGTTTCCTAAACCTGTTGTATTAAGTGTTTTAAAGTTGGTATGTAGAGTAGTTTGCTCTTTCAGACGCCACTCCCTGTGTTATCTTAAGCTTAGATCCAGAAAGTCATTTTCACAACCTGAACTGTGCCTTTTCTCTCTGGCAGGCTCTGCTCTGCCTTCTGTGAAATAAATCATGGCCCCATTACGATGTGTTGTGCTTTATGTAGCGGTGGAAGAAGTACTCAGATTGTTTAAGTATATACCATAGTGTAAAAATACTGTTACAAGTATGAAAGTCCTGCATTCAAAATGTAATGAATACAAAGTGCAGTATTTTTCCCTGAAATGTCAAAGTATGGAGAAATACTCAAGTACAGATACTTAAAATTATACTTAAGTACAGTACTTGAGTATATGCACTTGGTTACTTTCCACCTTTGGGTCTATGTACCTGTACACTGTGTTCCACCTACTGCTATAATCTTATTGTGAAATTGTAGGACACTGACAAAGCCATGAAATATTAACCGTTACAATGAATTAAACATGTAATGTTAGTGCAGAAGTCAGGCTAATGTTTAAGGAATAAAATACTTTATTGGTGTAGAGTTAAATGAGAAAAGGAGCTCATCCATTCATATCTATGTGTGGATCTATAGTCAACAGTTAGTTTAGCTTTCCCAAGCTAACATTAATACAAGTCTGCATTGCATAAAACCTGGAAACTGGGGAGGAGACAGCAAACCTGGCTTTGTACAAAGCCAACAAAATCTGCCTACCAGCACCTGTAAAGAATATTTAACACATTTTTTTGTACATATGTACAACAGTAATTATACAAAAATGTAAGTGTAAAAACGTCAAATTGCAGTGACTGTAACTGAAAAAGACATGAAAAAAAACTGAAAAATTCATTTGACAAAGATCCAGCTGTTTTGAATTATACTGAAACAAAGGCACAGCCAAATATTAGTCCATAAATTGATTACAGATTTTATTTTATTAAAAAGAATTTACATTCACAGAAAAAAAAAAAAAAAAAAGGCTTTTAGAGCATTATAGGGAAAATGATGTCAACTGCACTGCAGAAAAGATCCAATTGTCTCTAGTACTTACAGGACTGCCACCTAACCAGCCAATGAGGCCAAGTTGTAAATGATTGATTAACCGACAGTGGGTGAAAAAAGATGCGGCTGGACACATTCAAATCAATCTGTCAGACATAAAGATCCATTACTCCACTGGATATGAACAATGATAACATCTTCAACTCTGGAATTGGTAAACACTGTTTGCAGGTGTAAACATTGAACTAACTTAATCTGACCTGTAAGGTGAATAAACCAAACAGATAGTCTGCTGTAAAACTGACCAGTGAAATGATTACAAATAGACCATACAGCGCTTAAAAGCTGGTATCCCACAGCAACAATCTGAGCTTGGAAACCATTAGATAGTAGATACAGGTGCAAGGAAAGGGGCTGGAATATACTGTAAGTATGTAGGCCACAATATGGCAACGAACAAGATACATATTCAAGAAAAAGCTGTACAAACATCAGACAAGAACAAAAACACACTTGATTTAAAACTTTAGTACTAAAGCTACATAATTAAAAATATGTTTATTGTGGTTTTTTAAAAACTTTTTTTTACTTCAAAACGCTGTTATTCTGGTTGTGTGTGTGTATGTGCAGAACATTTCCAAGATTGGGGAGGTTGGGGCTTCTGTCCGAGGTCGGCCGGGGGTGTGGCCTCAGTGTCAAAATGACAGCAAATGACAGCACTCGCTTTGCTTTGACATCACACACAAGACAGTTACGTCCTTTTCTCTGGGTCGCTCTACAGCTGTCGACCTCTATGTGCATGTGTGACTACTCAACATCATCACCACCAATACTTTACACACATATCACACACCAGCATCACCACGTACAAGGACTCAGGTGGCGAACAGAGAAGGGGGAGGGGCCGGTGGGTGGTTATAATTGCAAATATATAGAACATTTAGAATTGAGATCCTCCCTATGTTGGATTTAACCAGATGGATCGGAGTGTGACACCAAAACGAAAGTGGGGGGGCTGTACAGAGTGTTACCCTGCTCTGTGCTGCTGATCCAAACAACTGTACATCTGTATAACAGGAAAACCTGCCAGTACTTGTCGGCTCACTGCAGGATTACTTAGAATGCCATCCGAGCTACTGCTAACGAGCTAAACCAACAGGCTGAGGAGAAAGAGTAGGAGGAAGAATAGGAACACGACAAAGCTCTTGAAGAATCTGGACTATACTGTGGATCCTGTGGGTTTTCTGAAAGAACAGAGCAAATCCTTTCTTCACGCATCTTAATGAGATCCAACTGATGCAGAATCCATCAGTAGATTTGTGTGACAAACATCCTTCCAACAAGTCTTTTAGAAAAAGAAAATTCAAGTTTTTTTTCTTCTTCTTCTTAAGAGTCTGATTGGTAGGTGATCTGGGATAAACGTCCCCAAACCCCCCCCCGTTCTGTTTACTGCTGACCTGGATCCTGATCTCAGGGTCTCTGCCTCTTTCCAGATCAGAACATGGGCATGCTGAATCCCTGGAAGAACGAAGAGGAGACTTTGTGAGAAACTCTATAAGAATAAAATATATCTTGGCTGTAACCCCACAGGACACAGTGCGCAACTGGATTCTACACATAATGGCTTTAAAATAGGATGTAAAAGTTTCGTTCCAGTCACGTCACTGTATGCAGATACACACTACATAATCTGAGGTTACTAAATTGTAAGGCTGCAACTAGCAATTACTGATTCATCTGCTGTTTGCTGATCAAAAAACTGAAAAATATCCATCACTTTGTGATGAATCTGCCCAACCACAAGTCCAAACCCACATATATTCAGTTTACTATATAATGAGTTGAAAGAAAAAAACCCGGTATAACAGTTACAAATAGTACATTTTTGCAAAAAAACATAAAACAGTTATCAACACTGTTTCCATTACTATTCACTGTGTCAACTGTTCTTAACATGAGTCATTTAAAATTGTCCAAGTGGAAATTTTTCTTACCGACTCGTCCTCAATCATTGCTGCAGAATCAAAGAAGTCTGGTCTTAATTCTGCTCTTTCACGTCTGTTCCTTGACGGCGGCTGAAAGGGAAACAAACCCGAAAGGTTAAACTTGAATAAAGAACCATAAAATAAAACATTTGCTGGGTCTTTTCTACTCTCCTTTGGAAATTCACAAGTCGAATGCAGCAAATGGAAGGGATGTTACTAACCAGGTCAATCACCATAGTGTCCTCAAACTCCTCGTTCATGTCCTCCAGCTGACCCCGCGATGACATCATCACATCCTCGAAGATGGGCTCTGCATCATCCTCCATCAACCCACGCCTGAAGGGGAATGCCATAAAAAGAGGGAGGAAAAACACAATATGAAAACAGCACGCCTACATATCCTTTTATGATCCGTTTTCTTATTAGATCTTCATTTATCAAAACCACAGTTGTAGTTTCTTTTCTATTTTACTAACAAAAACAGAAATGAAAGGTGGTGGAAAGATGCAAAGACTGCAGATACAATGTAACTGTGTTGTGCGGTCTGATGACTTAAAAGAATCAACAGTCTTCAAGCCATGAATCCTTAAAACTAAACACAGAAACGTACACAGTCTGCCGGACGCCCTGGTTACTGCGTGACTTGATGTAGTTCACGCCTGTTCGATCCTTCCTGTTCACCTCCTCCATCTTCTGCTGGCTGAGCCACGACATCTGCATCTGAGGACTGAAGAGAAAACACAGGAGTAAACACACTGACTTACTGCAGTACAGTGACACACGTTTATTCAAGTCTCCTCAGTATACATGTGTAAACAGATGCACTGACTTGTGTACGTAGTCGTTCTCTGATCCGGGTTCTGAGTCTGGGTCTGGCATGTGTTCTGCCGGTCTGTTCTCTCTGAGGACTGTTGAGGTGAGCTGAGGAGTCTGCAGCGGCGCCGGTGTCTGGAGGGTGTCGTTACGCATCATCCACGAGCCCTCCACACTACTCTCCTCTGCAAATGAACACACGGAGAAAGCTCGCTATCTCAGGAACACTGCGGTAGGTAACCAGTGACATTTTCCCATAACAGTTTTAGTTTAGTCAGGCAGACCCAAATACACCAGGTAACTTTAATCTCTGGTCATGTACCTGTCTCCTTACCCTCGATGCGTTTCTTGTGTAGCGGCGGTCGTCCCTTCTTGCTACGCACTGAGCCGGTCTTGCTGCTGGAGCCCGATGTGACCGACATGTGGTCCTCGTCTCCTCCCGTCAGTAGGCTGTTCCTATAGGAGATCAGCGGCAGCCACACCTCTTCCCGACGCTCTGACATCCACTCAGACCTGAACTTCTCCAGG